TTTTCCTTTGACGTACTATAAATGTGATTACGGAGAAGTCCTGTACTCAAATATGGTGGGGGATCATGGCAGCTTGCACAAGCAGCAAACAATCTTCTGTGTATTTTTAATAGATTAATTATGGGTTTATGAGAATGCATCAGTTTATTGGAAGATGTAATGAAACACTATTCTATGTATATTTTTGTAGAGCATATACATTTTCTATTAAATAACCTAAAAAATTACTGGCTGTGCCTTTAAAAACGCAACTATATATTAAATTTGGTCAGCCGTCAGGTTTGTACTGTGAAGGAGTATCAGTGTTTCTGATAGATGTAAGAGCATGTAAGTGTATAAACATTAACAATTAGTTTTGAGACAAATGAGAAACTGAATAACCATAATCTTTCTGACTGTTAGATAATTTAAACTGTTAAACTCCTTGATACATTCACCCAAGTATCCTTTAGTTGATGCTGTGTGCTCAGAGAAGGAGAAAAGAACAATTTAATGTCAGAACAGAAGACAGTTCATGGGATATTTTAGACAATAACAGTCAGTTCTTGGAAGGAAGTAAACCGGGCAAGCCAATAGAGATTAAAGTGACTTGGAAAGGTTGCAAATAGGACAAGTTACAAATTGTGATGGATCAGAACATCTGCAAAACAGTGTGATGTTCCTGAGATGCTGCGGCTTAACAAAAGCAGTCAAAAGAAGGATAACTGGTGGGATTATGGATGTTTTTGTCGAGCAAAGACTGCACCGTGTGGTCCAAATTCTTAGAAGAGCTTCTGTATCACTATTATAGTAAGAAGCAACCGAAGAGGTGAGACTGGCAGGGCCAACAGACCTTTACACTGCCACAGGACAGTTTTAACATGAGCCTAAAGAAGGCAGGATTGATCTGAATAAAGACTTGGGACTATATGTGACATCAGTCAAAAAACAGGAGGTTTCACCCAACCCAAGAAGAAAAGGAAAGTACAGAAGAGACATTGACTGAACCAGGAAGAAGATTAGCAACAGGGATAGAAGTGAGTAACTCAGGCTCGACTTGGCATCAGCTGATCTAGGAATGTCATCCATAAAGGTGACCAAACAAACTGTTCTGTGTTTCTGAGTGGTCACATCAACTGACCAGGAAGCGGAATGACAGAGAGAGTTCTGACATTTACTTTTTATTGAGAAATCATCTTGAAAGTAAGCTCAGTCTCAAAATATATGACTCCCGGGAATCTGAGATGAAAAAGTAAGGCCCAGATGTGGCTCAGGAGGTAGAGGAGGTCATCTACCAGTCAAATACTGAACCTCAAATTGCCCCAGATGCATTCATCAGAGTGTGAGTGCATGCACAAGTGTTAGGAAAAACACACACAAACACAAACTTCAAGGCATAGAATAAAAGTGTCCGTGGAAGGGTGGATGCGGCTAGTACTAAGAGTAGCTTAGGAGTACTTGGCTAAAGATGAAGCAGACCGAACCTAACACATGGGGTGTTGGTTGGCTAGATTAGAGAGCAAGGTAGCAGGCAGCCGGCTAGCAGCTGAAAACTCGGGATCAAGCAGGGGGCTAGTGGGCAGTAGATTGGAAAGGAGCGGAAAGCCCCAGCATTAGGCATAATCCATAGAGGCCTCCTGAACATCATAATACCCTCTCAGATATTCCTTGCCCATGCTGCTTTGGCAGCATTAGGGCAACCCACATACCATTAAAGACTACTTCTGCTCCACGTTTTCCATTTTTGTGAAAATGGCAACTTCAGTTCCATGTGCAGAGACCAGTTTTGTTTTGATATTAGATTTTGCTTTCCCTTTCGGAGGCAAGATGGTGATGGCGAGACACCTGCAGGTGTGTGCGTGTGTAAAGGGGGTTTGATGGCATTGCTCTTACATTACCTTACTTCCTCTTTTCTATCAGCGAAGAGTGTAGCAGGGAGGAGGGTGAGGAACTTATCTCTGGGCTTTTTCATGCCACAGTGATCCCAAGTAATCTAATTCAGCCTTCCTCTTTCTCGCTTGTGTGCTTTTCTCATACTTGAGCATGCAGATTGCACAAAGACTAACGGGCATGTGTGTATATGTGGTTGGGCAGGTGGGAAAAAAAAAAAGGGGGGGGGGGGGGGGACAGAGAAATACAGTTAATGAGAGTTAATGAGTTCTGGATGTATCTCCATCTATTTACGTTATGTGTTAAGTACTGCACCACTGGGATGGCTGGAGTCGATGTGCACCTTTGGTTGTAGTCTGTGTGGGAGATGGCCATGGAAAAAAATGAAATAGCAAAGCAAAGAGAATATGTGTGCAGTCTTGTGCTGAACCCAAATAAAATGAAATTTTGAAAAAAGAAGTCCCCAAAAGAAATTTTAAAATTAATTTCTGATGATGAAAATGTCAGAAATGTTAGTATCAAAGGTATAGGCTGATCAGTGAAACCAGCCCTTTTTTATATACTTTATCCACACACTCACACATGATAGCAGCTGCTTCACTGACTCACTGACAAGCCCTCTGAACAGATTAGAAAATCAAGGTAAGGAAAACAAAAATCAAAACTTTCAGTGCATACAGGGCACAGACACACAAGTGAAGAGACAGTGCATCGTCTTTTTTATGGGACACATAACATCTTAGCGATCTTTAAGGCTTCGGTCTATAAGTTCAGCAAATAATTGCAATATTTAGTTAATTGAGATGCATTTTGTTGCAGTGATAAAATGTGTGATTTATACTTGGCAGTGAAAACCTTCCTCTGTGCACAATGGGTGGAGTGAAAATGCAGGGACGTGTCTGCAGGCTTGTGCACTCATTCACAGACTTCATTTTACAAAAACAATAAAGGCAATACTGGCAAGAATACGACCTGCACAACAGCTAAATACAATCAGATAATACAAATAAAGATTTTATTTACAGTGTGTTCACTGAGCGAGCGGGTGCAAAATCTCTGCTGGGGTCTCTTTTTTTACAAGCACAGGCTTTTGCAAAGTAATCATGCAAATCATCTTTGTAGTTTATGCCACTAGAAGTCATGTTTTCCTAGAGTAAGGAAGATGCACTGTTCATGCATCAGCAACATGAAAAAAGGGCGTGAGAGAGGGAACTCGAGCAATACTGAAGCATTAAAAACATAACTTCAATTATCCCAAGACTGGATCTGGGAGTGAGGATGCCTCAAATTCCTCTGAATTTTGGAACAGCCACCCACAGGCATCTATCATCTACGCAGCTACAGGCAATACTTACAGAATAACAATGACAAAGCAGTCAGGTCTGTATCATGCAGATCAGAAGCACCGAATCAGAAACAAACGCAATCTCTGCTTTAGTAATCAGCACCACTGTGACACTATGTCTTTCCCTTTTGTCAACACAACTGATTTCACTCATTTATTCACTTGAACGCTCTTGATCTAAATCAGAAACCGTGCTCTCCGGGTCGCTGAACAAAGTTACAAAGATGCATGAAATGCTCCTTGCATGAACCTCGACGAGGGATGAGCAACACAACCGACTATCTGCGCCTCGCTGAGGGAGACACACAGCTCCGGGCGAACCCTCAAGCCAGAGCCAGCCTTGAGACTCCAACTGTGGCCTGTTGGGAGCTACAGATGCTCTCTTCTTGCCCTGCTCCTAAACACACTTTGTGAGCACAGAGCAAACATCATTGCCTCTGCTTTCGCTGTCAAAACAACAGTCATGGAAGATGTTTAGAAGTCCTTTAGCAAAGTTAAAGCAGATACACTACAAAGAAACAAGTTAAAAAATAGAATCTACTAAATGCCGTTATCTGTATTATCACTAAAATATATTAAAAGAATTAAAAGTTAAAATGTCTATTATGCAGAATAGCTTAATAGCTTAGTTAAATATAAAGGTTTGTTATTGAAACATGGGTTTAACTTTTTGTATATACAAAAACCTGAAACAGAGAACTAAGCTACTGTTGTCGGATACATGCAATTGATTAGAAAGTGTAATAATTCTCTGTGAAATGTAATGAAGCATCAAATATAAAGCTGGAAAAGGAAAATAAAATGCTTCAATAATGCTGTTAATTTCCACCCCAGCTGAGGAGCAACTGTCTGTGACGCATTGTTTGAAGCATCCCAGAGGAAAAAGAAAAAAATCCTGCTCACTATAGCCTGTTTATTCTGTCTCATTACAAAACAAATCATCTTGATATATATGGAGATTACTCATTTCTAAGCTGTTTCTCCCAAGCTTCCCCTTTGGACAAATAAAGAGCAAAACGAATGAAATCAGTCTAGGATTAATCATCCTGTCCAGTTTGATGAAAAAAACAGGAGAAGCACAAGAAAAACAAGGAGACAAAGCCTCATTTTGATCAATGAAACAAAGTTCTTACATTTCACAAGCCCATTTATAAACCAATCAAGTTTTCCTTTCGTTCTCACCGTTATCTCAAAAGCTGATTGTTACAGTCAAATAAAGAGTGAGGGAGCAGTGAGAGAAAATGAGCATTTTTTAGGATCTTAAATAGGGATCGCAGTAGGATGAGAGGAAGGCCATTCCTCAAAAGCTGAATTTAAGCAAACTCTCATGTTAAACTCAAATTCTGTCATGTCTGAGAGCAACAGACTGGACAGAGAAAAGATTTTGAATAATTTGACATGCTCTTCCCCCTGGGATGGCATCACTGATATAAACATACTATTATCAAAGATTATTCAGCTTCAGCTAAATTAATGTCACTCCATATACCACGAATGCATTCTCCTTGCTCGTTTATTAATACTTTGAATCTAATCTTTTTTTTTTTTTTTTTTAATCTGACCAGTCATAAATATACTGATATCCTGCTTATAATTAATAGGGCAAAAAGTCTTTGCAATGCATTTCTTTCTTGTCGTGCAAACACATATGCAAATGTTGATTCTTGGTGTGAATTTACAATATGGTGCTCCATATTACCAGCATCTTCTACACGCATTCAGGGTAATGAGTCCAGCCATTTATATGTTTTGGGCACTGCACTGAGCTGGAAGTGGCATCACTCACCATGGCCAGGGGCACGATGCCCGCCACGTCCTCCTGAGCCAGGCGGATCTCTGTCTCCACCTCTTGAGTGGCAGCGCGACTGGCCGGGTATTCCACCTGCCAGGCCATCCAGCGGCTGCCCATTGGCTCTGGGAAGCTTTCCATTTTCAGATCCACCTGGAGCACCCTCTGAACTCCCATCTCAGGCCTATCAGCGTGCAGGAAAAAAAAGAGAGCGTGAGTGCATAGTTAAGCAGGTGGCTTGAAAAAAAAAAAGAGCGTGTGCGGATGTTGTGACTTATGTGTGTCGGTGAGTTCATTCAACCCGGTTTCTGGTCTAATGACGACAAATGGTAAAGGCTGATGAATGTGTCTGAGGTTGATATCTATGACATTTTACCAGCTGAGATTCTCCAAAATGCCAAGTCCCTTTGTGTATGACTCTCTGTTCAACTCTCTGCTTTATGGAATATCATCCCGCCCGCTCTATATTCCTCTCACACTTTACAGTAGGTGATGTGCAATGTAAACACAACCTACGGCACAATCTCCCCGACACTCCAAAGAGCAATTCAAAGGAATATTTCACCAAGAGTAACCCCCACTAAGTTGTTGATGGCTGAGTTTGTCACCGCTGCCCTTGTTTGCCTTGCAGGAGTATAAATATACGGCATGCTTCAGCTCGATCTACAGTAGGCCTGAATTAAGTCAGACAAATGGAGAGCGTCGATAACAAAATTTCCCATGCCGCCATAAGTCTCCGGTGCTCACGGTTTAAATATAGCCCTGAGGCAGGAAAGGTCAGCATTACACGGGAGCTGGAGGAGATGGGAAATGACACAAGATCTGTTAGCCACATCTTGCGTGTCAAATGGCAGGACTCGGGCCCAATAAATTTCATGCACGGTCTCTGTGGCACACCGGCGCAAAACAGCATCATGTAATTTGAGCATGGTGTGGGGGAGAGACAGAGAAAAGCAGGGGTGAAGAAATTCACATGGTTTTTTGTTTGGAGAGAAGAGCCTGTGGGGAATAGTGTCAAACATGAAGCAGAAAAAAAGCAAATAATACAACGCCATGAGGAGAGACGATACATTTAACTCGTGGAAAGACAGCACACGCAAATGTATAACATCCTAAATTATAAATAGGAGACTAAAAACAGTGGCAAAATAAATAATAGAAATATTCAGAGAGGACACATCTTTCACATCGTTCTTATATTCTTGCATCTGACACTGAAAGAATGAAAGATTTGTCACGCAGCAGAGCACAACAACCCAATTTTCACATCCAACAGAGGTGTGTATAAATAATTAAGATGACAACCGAACAACTTGTGTCACATTTCATATTATCGTTCTAATCAGAGTGTACGACTCGCTGAAAACACAGAACGACAGCGTGGACTTACGTAACCGCTCCACATTGCTGTGGAAAAAAACCACAGATACTACTATCTGTATAAAGACGAGCAAAGTCACAAATTTCAGCAGGTGAAGAATTTCAACAGATGATGCACTAAACGTCCCGAAATAAAGTGCTTCAGTGTCACACAAAACCCGTGTCACTCATCTGTCCAAGTGGCCTACTTTTCTTAGAACAGGCTTAAAACATCTCACATTTTAGGCAGCCAACAAGGAAGACAGGCAAAAGAATGAAAGCGACTGCACAGCAGAAAGGTTTGATTATACTTTACATACACTGCCAGGTATGGGAAAAGAGCGCACACACTCACAAAGTCAAAGGGCCTCCAGAAAAGACAGACACAATGTATTATTAGTTTTTCCCCCCCTCTCTCCTTGAAACATGTCAATTATTTCCCTCCTTGCGTGATCCACTTGGCAGAGTTTAATAGCTGCTGTAAATGCTGCAACTTTTACGAGGTTACTGTATTTCTCCTTATAATAACAGTGTCAACAAAATGTTGAGGTTATGAGATTGTACATTGGACAAACAGGTCTTTCTTTTTAGGATGCAGACATGCTGCTAATTTGGCAGTTTTGTGAGAGAAATACATTTCCTTCAAAAGCAGACAGCATATGACAGCAATATAAAAACAAGTGCAAGAGAAGGATAAGCACAGACATGAGAATGCACACTGTTAGTCCATAGCTTGGTGTTTATTTGACCTCACCTTTGCTGGGGACTAATGGAAATAAGCTAGAGTGTGAAAAACACAGCTCTATGCAAAGGTCTGGAATTCAGTACGGTACAAAAAAATATTACCCAATATTTTACCAGTGAAATTTGAAACGTGCAAAACACGCATGGGAATAGAGTATATAAGATCTGTATAATTCTAATGAGCTTAAAAGTCAGTATTTGGTTTGATCACTTTTATTCTTCAGCACAGCCTGAACTCTCTTAATCAAACTTTCTTGTCATTTCTTTCAGTAGTTTTAAGGAATAGTCCCCCAGGATTCTTGAGAGACATTCAAAGATCTTCTTTGGATGTTGGCTGCTTTTTGGTCTGTTCTCTGTCAGGATGATCCTGCACTGCTTCAATAATGTTGAGGGTTGAAATCTGAGGAGGCCAGTCCATGACTGTTTCATTGTATGTTTTCCTATCTGGGTATGGTTTTCACAGTTTCATGGTTTGGGATCATTGCCATTGGGAAAAAAGAAGCTGTTGACAATCAGATGCTTTTCAGATGGTAATACATGGTGGGTCACAATCTGACTGTACTTTGGTGCATTCATAATGCCATAAATTTTGACAAGACCAACACCACTAGCTGAAATACAACCCTAAACCATGACACAGCCTCCAAAATGTTTGCAGATGGCTGTAGACATTCATTGTTGACTTTCCCCATACATAATAATGACTACTTAAACGAAAGATTTCTAATTTGGACACATCACTTAAGAACACATGTTGTCACTGACTTTCAGTAGAGATCTTGTGTAATTTGGCATAGCTCAGACTTTCCCCTCTATTTCCCTTCTTTAAGAGTGGCTTCTCGACAGCCACCTTTCCACTGAGACCATTTCTGATGAGGCTTCAGTGAACAGTAGATGGATAAACTGAAGGGGCAGGTGCCTCTCTCAGGTCCTGTGTCAGATATTTGCTGGATTTCCCCCCCTATTTCTTGAGGACATGACTTTCAGATACTCACTTGCTATAGTTCACTTTTAGCACAGCCATTTCTTCTTTGTCCTCCACTTGTTCAGTTTCCTGAATTTTAAAGGACAGCTTCCTTTTGAAGTTTAATGAAATTGTGGAAGTCACATTTGAAGCCATTGTTTTAGCATTCTGGCCACTGCCATGATGGTTTTCCTTGAGCCAGAAGTGACCATATGCAAGAGAGTGGACTGCAAAGCTGCCAGCTAATGCCACTAAATTTTGCTAGAAGCTGTTTCCATAGACAATAGCAGTACATCACAAAGACACTGATGCCTGCTAATTAATCCTAAGTAACAAGCTTCAATATCAATCAAACACACCTGAGCACCAGCTTTTTAGTTAAGCTGTTAGTACAAATAATCACACTGGTCATCTCTTTTGTCAAGTAATTGGACTAAAATAGTCGTCCGACAGCACAAACTGAAGAGAAGCTGTTCTGCTCCACTAGAACTCTTACTTCAGTGTGTCGGTGAAGATAAAGCCTGGATGGCCTCTAACTTCCTTAACTTTAATGAGAACAAAACTGACGTGATAATGTTTGGACCAAGTGGCAATCCCAGCACTTCTCATTTTAACCTGCACAGTCCTGAGCCTTTTATTAAGTCACACGCAAAAATTCAGCGGTTAAATTTGACACAAATTTCACCTTTGAAAAACGGATTAGCTCAGTTCTACAGTGGTCTTTTTTCAAACTGAGGCTTTTATCTAAGGTGAAATCATTTCCATGCTTTTATTACATCCCAGCTGGACTATCGTAACTCCTTAAATGTTGGGGTTAGTCGGACCAGCCTTGCAAGACTGCAGTTGGTCAAGAATGCTGCAGCTCGTCTTCTGAACATATTTCCCCGGTGCTTGTCTCTCTTCACTGGCTCCCTGTTCACTTCAGAATTGGTTTTAAAATTTTATTGTTGACTTACAAAGCCCTGGATGGACAGGCTCCCGGGTATTTGTCTGACCTCTTGCAGCCTTATGCGCTCTCTAGATCTCTTAGATCAAATGATCTTTTGCTTTCAGCCATACCAAGGTCTAGGCTGGTTCACAGAGGTGATCGAGCATTTGGAGTCGTAGCGCCTAAACTGTGGAATAATCTACACATCAGACAGGCTCCTTTTAAAATCTCATCTAAAACACATTTGTATTCACAGGCTTTTAATACAGTATGAGAGTTATTTGGTATTTGTTACTAATATTATAAGTTATTTAATACAAGTTATTTTGTGTTTCTGCACAGCACTTTGGTCAATGTTGCTGTTGTAATTAAACGTGCTATAAAAATAAAAAAAACATAAATGAAACAAACATGGTGGAGTGATCTAGTTCAGTGATTCGGAACATCGAGGTAAGTCCTAACACAAATCTATCAGCCTAGTTAGCAACCAGCTATCAGTTAATGCGATATCCTTAAAAACAGAAACTTTAAGGTTTAAAAACACCCTGAAAGGCTTAGTTATAAAGAAAATTCAGCCCAGAGAGTTGTTATAATGGACAAATATAGCTGCAGGGATCACAATCATTTTGTTGCACGAGGCTGTAAACTGTCTGCTCTTTGTTGGAAACGTCCAACCTTTTTACGTGCGAGTCCACAGGGATCGACTTTTGGATGCAAGGAAATACATTTTTATTCACTCAATTCATTTTTCAGCTCCAGAGTTTGTAGTTTGAGACCTACAGGAAAGATTAACGAGGGACAAATAATGTGCTAGTCCTATTAACAGCGTTGATGCCCAGGCAGCATCTGCAGGGAAGAGTCATCTTAAGGAGACGTTACAGAAATTACAATATCTAACGTATGCTAGGAGACATTTTGATGCACTCACTTTGGAAACAATGACATAAACAAGTGAATTAAAAAGTTAAACTGAGTTTTTGACTACACACATATTTTTTTAGAAGATTTTGCCTTGACAAAAATAAGAATGTCAAAAGCTCTGTGGGGATCAATATGTACTGCTGTGAGGCTGTTTATGGATTATTGTTAATTTTCCATCATCATTTAAATCCGCACATTAAAGCAACATTACTGGCTCCTAATCTGCCCAGAGCTTCCTCTGGTGCCCCGAAAACCTAGCTTGTGCTGA